GAAGCGGCGCGGCGCTCAAGGACAGGCTTGCGTATCGCCAGTGGCACAATCCGGATTTTCCTGAAAGCAGTGTAGTGTTCAGGCTTCTTGATGTTTTCTAGTGAAGGATTGTGCAATTAAGCTCCTTTTGAAATTGATCTTTATTCCTTAATAAAGAGTTTTCTGTATTCTATTCACTGGAGATATTAAATGACTTTCGTTAGTATGTGGAAGTTCAGGATCCCCCCCCCCAATTGCGTGCATCACTGATATCAATTGATGCTAATATTTAGGACATACTGTTGACTGGTGAACTGTGATATTATCGAGAGACTGATAGTTCGAAATAAAATTTGAGAGGATGAAATGTACACAACAAAGCGACAAAAAAAGAATTGAGGTAATCATGGATATTCGGTATCGCATTTCGTATGGAAGTGAATCATTTTCCTTTACCGCTTTCTTTGTTACAATTTTGGTCTTAAAGTTTCAAAATGTCCTTGTAATAAATTAATTTTGGTTCACAAGTAGCAATGCTGAAACAGCTATTAAAAATAATTTGCATTTTTTTATTGTCATGTAATTTTTCCATTAAAGATGTTAAATTTTTGAAGAAACGTATTTTACTTTTGTCTATTTCCATCCTCATTTAGGCCCCCTAAGTCCCGACCGCTCTCCTGGTTGAGACGAGAGATGCAATACATAACAAAACATGGATGTTCAAAGCATCGACTAAGAATCATCGATATATTCAAACATCCTTGTTTTGAAGCTGGTTTAGTAATATCGATCATTAAATTTCATCACAACAAAATTTAATTTCACAGTGTTCTGTTTATTGAATTATAATTAATATTTAACAGAAAAGATTAAAAAAATAACAATGAATAAAAGTGAACTTGAATGTCTGGGTTTCCCAGGTTATCTCGAAGGGTCAGTCCTCAATTCGAAAAATTTACGAGGAAAAGGAGGGGGGAGTCTTTCTTCCACAGCGCATGGGTCTTCTCCATGCGTGAAATACGAGAAAATATGTATATCGTACGTAGAAGGAAATATCAGAACGTCAAGGCCATCTTGGAATATAATCTCCTCGATGACGGTAGAACAAAGTGTTCATTTGGTTCGCACGGTGGTAACATCAGATATTTCATATTTTAACTCGAACAAAATTGTAATAATGGGAATTTTTTGACAATAAGCACATCAAACACTTAAATACATCAAACACAAAACATCGATATTGAAGAAACATCGATTTTAATAGGAAAGCTCTTAGCTGTCAGGATGACGCCTCGTCGATGGCAGTGATGCGGAGATTCAACGAACTTTAAGCGATCTGCTTTAAGGTTGAAGTGCACTTCTGGCTGAACACTTCAGCTCTGACGAAAACCACGGGATGTCGTCTTTCACATGTCTCTGGCCGCAAATGCCTAAGATTCCATCGGCTTTTATAAAGTGATGTTTAAAACATTGATGTTTAAAACAATGATGGTTAAAACAATGATGGTTGAAACAATGATGTTTAAAACAATGATGTTTAAAACAATGATGTTTAAAACAATGATGTTTAAAACAATG